CTCCCCCGGGGCCCAGCCCACCACACCCCACAGGCCACAGCCTGCCACGCCCCAGGACCATAGCCCGCCATGCCCCACAGGCCCCAGCCAGTGCACGTGGCAGGAGGCGAAGGCAGACAACACCATGGGACAGACGTGCCGAACCCCCACCCGCTCATGTACAGCCAGCTCCACTGTAAGTGATTTCTGAGCCTGGGGAGGGAGGGACCCACTAGGTGACATGGTCCCAAGAGCCTCACCCTGAGTCCTTAATGAGAGACGGCGGTGAGCACGTCCCCGGAATGCAACACATTGTCCTGCCAGAGGAGAAGGGCCGAGGAGCATTCTGGGACAAAACTTAAAACAGATGGACTTCCACAGCCCAGTCTAGCATCTCAGAAGCATCAGACATGACAACCTGTGTTAGACTCCATGCTTTGCAAAATTCAGAAGTTAGAGAGAAACAACTTGTAATACTACCTTAAAGTAAAGTTCCTGAGCGCACATTCTATGAGGACTCACAAATCTTGGAAACTGCACGAGATGCTTCCTTTTAAATCCCAGGAAGAGAACACCCACTGAGCCCCTCCCCGCCCACGGCCAGGCCTGTGGGAGGCGTGTTCTAGGAGATGCCTCTCCATGACACACTCTGCAAACGCACACGCGGACTGAGGAAGGCACAGCGGCTGTGTGTTATGTCCACACTGACCGTGGAGCTTCAGCGCTAGAACCTGCTGGGCCCGGGGCTGCGGCTGAGGCTGGGGTCAGCAGCATCTTCCCCTGCCTCCGGGGACCAGCACCAGGAGAGCTGAGGGGAGGGGAGGGCTGCTCCTTCTCCAGACCTCAGTGCTATGCACCAGCGGCCTCAGAACCACTACGCGACCCTAAACGTTCCCGTGGAAACAGGTTCTTCGTGGTTTAGAGCGAATGGCACAGGGAAAGGAGGGGGTGCTTTCCTCTCGCCTGCAGGGCTCCCCTCCAGCCTGCGGCCAGGAGCCCCCACAGGCACACTCCGCAGGCGGTAACTCGCAATCAACAGTGAGTTCTGAGTTGGAGGAAAAGCAGCTGTTTTAAGGCCTCGTCAATCTGGTCCCCGTCTTTGCAGGCCATTTTCTGGGGCTCGAGGTCAAGGCTGAGCATCGCAGTCCCTGCCACACGCAGCCCAGCGTTTTACAGTTTCTGCTTGAAAAGTGAGATAAAAAGTCCTGGTTCCTGTTCTTAATAATGAATCGGCTGAACAACAATCAAAACCCCAAATGCTTCTTCACATTCTCCCTTCCTCTGGTCTATCTGCTGCTGGAAGGTCCGGCGGCCCGGCTCCGTGCCTGCCACGCCTCCGCCGGAGGGACCGCTTGGTGACAGTGTAAATGTCCCCTGTGGACGGTTTTGATGGCCGCCATTTGCTCCTCACTGGTTTACTTACACTTTTGAAGTATGAGGTATCAGGAAGGCATGGAGATTCCGGAGTTGTGCTATAATCACCATGAAACTGGCCCTTTTCGCATCGTATCTGTGGAAAGAGAAGCTGATGAAGCAAGGAGAGCGCCCAGGCCGGTGGTCCCCGCACTGAATTCTAGGCCCGCCCTTACCCGTGCACAGCTTTACCTGAGCCCGATCTGCACCTGCGCCGTCTCCATGACGACGCCAGTATCCTCTTCACCGTAGGCAACGTCTCCCACTTCACTGGGTCTGGGAACCGGAGACAGGGGCGCAGGAGAGCGGCTCATTAATGGGGAGCTCGATGGTATGGTTACCATCTGCCACTGGACCAACTTGAGTGAAAACCTGAATTCCCAGCACCCGGGGGACACTCACGCAGCTCTCCCTCATCTTGTCAGGAGGGTCTGTCTCCAACCCTTTAGGCCAGCGGTTCTCAACCTGTGGGTCGCGACCCCTTTGGGGGTCGAACGACCCTTTCACAGGGGTCGCCTAAGACCATTGGAAAACACATATATAATTAGATATTGTTTTTGTGATTGATCACTATGCTTTAATTATGTTCAATTTGTAACAATGAAATTGGGGGTCACCACAACATGAGGAACTGTATAAAAGGGTCCCGGCATTAGGAAGGTTGAGAACCACTGCTTTAGAGGAACGACTTTCTGGTGCCTCTGTGGGGTACACTGCACCCCTGCACACATTCCCAGCTCCCAAAACCTACTCGGGAGCTGATGGCTACGCAGGTGGCCAGCCCCTCCAGCATTCTCATCCAAGTCAGGGTAAGTCTCAAGGAGACGTGTTTGAGGAAGGACAGCCCCTGCTTGTCCCTCCCTGTGACATGCATGTCTGTCCCTGTGAGATACTTGTCCCTCCCTGGCTGACATGCATGTCTGTCCCTGTGACATGCTGTCCCTCCCTGGCTGACATGCAAGTCTGTCCCTGTGACATGCTGTCCCTTCCTGGCTGACATGCTGTCCCTCCCTGGCTGACATGCAAGTCTGTCCCTGTGACATGCTGTCCCTCCCTGACATGCATGTCTGTCCCTGTGACATGCTGTCCCTCCCTGACATGCATGTCTGTCCCTGGCTGACATGCTGTCCCTTCCTGGCTAACATGTATGTCTGTCTCTGTGACATGCTGTCCCTTCCTGACTGATATGCATGTCTGTCCCTGTGACATGCTGTCCCTTCCTGGCTGACATGCGTGTCTGTCCCTGTGACATGCTGTCCCTTCCTGGCTGACATGCGTGTCTGTCCCTGGCTGCGGACCATCTTTGACACAGACTGACATGTGCAGGCACACGTTTCCTCAGTGCTGCCCCCGAGGCTGCGGGAGCGACTGACGGTGGCGGGACACCCTGGCCCGTGACCCACACGCGCTCGGGGGTGGGGGTGATGGGGGAGCCCCCCGCTGCACAGGAGCCTTACTGTTTCACGAAGCCTTCGTAGACGCCGCTGTCTCCCGCCACCGACTCGTCCGACACGGCCGCCGACACGCACGCCGTCCTCTCCCCGAGCAAGTGCGCGCCTCTCCTCTTGGGGGCCGCCTTTTCCACGTCTGAGGGGAGAGGGCACTCATGAGGTTTCCGATCAGGACACGTTAAGTGTAAAATACGCACACGGGGTGGTTCTGAGATCCAAACTAAAACCCCCCGAGAAGCAAGGAGGGGACTATTCACACCAGCGGGCGTGGTGGCCCGAGGCTCCGTGACTTACACGGTCCCCGGACAGTCCCTGGCCTGTGTCTGATGAAGAAGTGGCTTTCCTTTGTCCAGAACCAGTCTGAGGCGTGAACTGCACACTGCGCACTGCCCTCGAGTCTGGTGCAGGCGTTCCCCACAGGAACCACGCGCGTGGGGGTGGGGGGGTCCACCCGCCCCCCAGCATCAGAGACCGAGCGCCTAGCGCCCGGCAGGAAAGGACCCCTGGCTCCCCCTGTCCACACGCATGGCCTACATCTCCCACGGCTCCCCCTGTCCACACGCATGGCCTACATCTCCCACGGCTCCCCCTCTCCACACGCATGGCCTACATCTCTCACAGCTCCCCCTGTCCACACGCATGGCCTACATCTCCCACGGCTCCCCCTGTCCACACGCATGGCCTACATCTCTCACAGCTCGCCCTCTCCACACGCATGGCCTACATCTCCCACAGCTCCCCCTCTCCACACGCATGGCCTACACCTCCCCTGGCTCCCCCTCTCCACACGCATGGCCTACATCTCCCACGGCTCCCCCTCTCCACACGCATGGCCTACATCTCCCCCGCCTCCCCCTGTCCACACGCATGGCCTACATCTCCCCTGGCTCCCCCTGTCCACACGCATGGCCTACATCTCCCCTGGCTCCCCCTGTCCACACGCATGGCCTACATCTCCCCTGGCTCCCCCTGTCCACACGCATGGCCTACATCTCCCCTGGCTCCCCCTGTCCACACGCATGGCCTACATCTCCCCTGGCTCCCCCTGTCCACACGCATGGCCTACATCTCCCCTGGCTCCCCCTGTCCACACGCATGGCCTACATCTCCCCTGGCTCCCCCTGTCCACACGCATGGCCTACATCTCCCCTGGCTCCCCCTGTCCACACGCATGGCCTACATCTCCCCTGGCTCCCCCTGTCCACACGCATGGCCTACATCTCCCCTGGCTCCCCCTGTCCACACGCATGGCCTACATCTCCCCTGGCTCCCCCTGTCCACACGCATGGCCTACATCTCCCCTGGCTCCCCCTGTCCACACGCATGGCCTACATCTCCCCTGGCTCCCCCTGTCCACACGCATGGCCTACATCTCCCCTGGCTCCCCCTGTCCACACGCATGGCCTACATCTCCCCTGGCTCCCCCTGTCCACACGCATGGCCTACATCTCCCCTGGCTCCCCCTGTCCACACGCATGGCCTACATCTCCCCTGGCTCCCCCTGTCCACACGCATGGCCTACATCTCCCCTGGCTCCCCCTGTCCACACGCATGGCCTACATCTCCCCTGGCTCCCCCTGTCCACACGCATGGCCTACATCTCCCCTGGCTCCCCCTGTCCACACGCATGGCCTACATCTCCCCTGGCTCCCCCTGTCCACACGCATGGCCTACATCTCCCCTGGCTCCCCCTGTCCACACGCATGGCCTACATCTCCCACGGCTCCCCCTCTCCACACGCATGGCCTACATCTCCGTAGAGGTCAGAGAGGGAAAGTCCTCCACATAGAGAATTGCTCATCAGCTAATGTCATTTTTTTTTTTTTTTTAATAAAACCTTTGTGCTCCTGAGTCTTTGGCACCAACGACCACTTGCCGTTGATCTCTACCTCCTGGCCCTGGTGCGCTCCCGCTTCTGCGTCCTGACTGTACATCTCAGGAAGAGGTTGGGGGTTACGGCTTCAGATGACGGGCTGATGGCTGGCGGTGGGACTGCTTGCCCCTGGAGGACGGAGTGCCTTCTCTCCGCCCACCCCCACGGAGGGGTGAGGGTGACACATGACTTATCGATCAGTCCCAGGAGCAACCGGGCGGCCTGAGACTGACTCTGACAATGAGAGAGGCTGACCATGAAGGACGGGGACTTATTCCAGCTCCGTGTCTGTCACCACCTGGGACTGCTGGGAGCAGAGTGAGTATAAAAGGAACCCGGCTGCACCTGCAGGAGACTCCAGGGCACGGAGGGGGCAGACACCGTCCCTGGCTGAGCCACCTGCCCCACACGAAGGTGAGACACGACCAAGAAATGGAAGGCCCTTCGTCCACGCACAGAAGAGCGGCAGAAGGCAGTGTGTGACCCCTCTCGCCACACGTCATCGTAATTCCCATAAACCAGTGCGGGTACAGCCCGCCCGCTGGATGCCTCATGGACACGCATCCTCCTCCAGCCCCTCAGGAGTAGGGACGCACCTTCCCCCTTTCCCAGGAGGAACAACCCCTGGGGAGACGGGGTGCCATGCTGGCCAGGACACGCCAGCCAGCGGGGCAGCCACCATGTGAGCAGGCGAGGCTGGCTCCAGGGGGAGCCCCTGGCACCCCGGGCTTTGCACTTTGGAGCCACCGAGGGAGCCCCACTCCTGCGCTATTTCCTCGTGGCTGATTATTTCAGAAAAGCGTGACTTGGGCTCTGGCACCGGCCAGGCAGCAGCACACGAGCCGCACAGATTCTCCTGTGCCCGCCTCTGCCCCCGCCCCAGGCCCCGGGCGGACGGGGTCTCTGTCTTCACGAATGGAAACCATGCAAACAAGATGGATTCTTCTATCTCCTTAAACATCTGAACTGGCCAATCAAGTAATACTTAGGCTCCTAGGACCATGAAGACCAATTAAACAGGCTCCTTGAAACAGCAAGGCCGTGCTCTGGCGTGTCGCAGGCAGTCACGCGTGCAGTGTGGACCGGGCTCCGGGGCCACGCGGGGGCTACTTCCGTTTCGTTTCAGGCCAGCGCCATGGCAGACCGCCCTCCTCGACCACAGCTGTGCTCGTGTGCCAACAGGGCACCGCTGTCCTCTCTGCAGCCACATCGGCTCCGCAGAGGGAAACTATCCCGGAAAAGAGAAGTCTGCGTTCCTGTGTTCCTGTCTGAGCAGAACGTGAGGAAGAGCTGCTGCCTCCCGCCTGGCTGCAAGGAGCACGGAGGCCAGCAGGTGGCAGCGCGGCACCGTCCCCGGGCCACCCTACACCAGGCAGAGGGATCCTGTCTGTGAGCGTCTGGCCGGAAACAAAACCGTGTTCGTACAGAATCCCCGGGGCAGCCTGAACACCGAGCCCGGCACTAACGAGCAGGATGCTAATGGCTTCGGTTCTCGTCTGGTTCAGGCCAGCTCTGCACAGAAAGCCCTTCTCTCGGCCTTGTCCTCCCAGAACCGGAAGCTGCCCGAAGTGTCACGTGTCCACAGAGCACGTCCCGGTCACTGCCACACGCAGAGCAGAAACCAGTGACTCAATCATCACCCAGGGAAGGCGATTCCTATCTGATAAAGAAGAGTGTCTAGGGATATCACCTAAACACTCCTTAGACGAAGCAAATTAAAAAAGAAAAGGGGGACTAGCACCATTGGTGTAAGTGGAAAAAGTCACCCTCCCATCATTCCCCTTAAGACGGCCCAGCGGGGACCAGGCCAGCGACGCCCACAGGTACCTGCGGCGCCTTCGTAGAACGGCTCCCTGGCGCCTTCTCGCAGGTCTTTGTCCTCTAACAGGGCCTGGGACGCGCCCCCCGCGTCGGCGTCCAGCAGGATCTGACTGTCGCCGAGGCCCATGTCTGCGAAGTGGCTGCTCACGTCGCAGTCGTCGAAGTCGGCGGTGAACCGGTGGAGAGGGACGTCGTGGGAAGACATGGGGAAGGTGCCTTCCAGCACCAGGGGGGAGCCGGGAGGGGACAGGGAGGACAGGGAGGACCGCGAGGACAGGGACGTCACAGACTTGGGGGCCTCGGTCGGCGGGGGCGCAGGGCCCACGGCGGCTGCCCCACAGGGACCACTCTGGCCGGGCTGGCTGGGGGACTTGACCACTTCGTTCTCATGGATGGTGGTGATGGGCCCAGAAGGGACGTAACCACCCTTTTCTTGCAGGAGGAAGTCCAGTTTATACTGATAGTCCGAGTCGAGCTGGTCGCCCGGGCTGGTGTAGTAGAGCTCGCTGGAGCTGAGGGAGTTGAGCGAGCCCCTGCTGGAGGTGTTCAGGGACCCCCGGCTGGAGGCCAGGGAGCCCAGGCTGCTCCCGGACGACATGGACAGGGTGCTGGCGGAGAGGCTGCGAGAGGAGAAGCACGATGGTCAAAACTGGACTCATCGGGAAGCCCAGGCCCAGCCCCGCTGGCTCTTCAGACCCCGTGAGGCCAGAACAGCCCGTGATGGGCTTCTTCATGAACACTGCAACCTGGCTCTCTGCTACTCTTTCAGCAGTAACCCTACTCTTATTCAAAACCACCCCTCTCTCGCAAAAGACACAAAAGCGGGGGAATCAAATCCCTATCGGCAAATCTACCCGCACAGGGATCCAGAAGCAAGGATGTCATTTAAAATACAGACGGGTAAACAGTACCAAGTGCTAGTGCAGTCACTTTGCTGAACAAATGGCACTTTCTGAGAGAAATGAGGCGCGGTGAGGAAGCAGAGCTGACAGAGTTGGGCTCCCCCACCTCCCCTTATGTGTGTTTAAATAGTGACGATGTTCTCGGACGTAGCTGCCGCCGCCCCCCCCCCCCCCCCCCCCCCCCCCCCCCCCCCCCCCCCCCCCCCCCCCCAAAAGAAGGGCTGACGTGGACAAGATATGTCATTTCCCTAAGTGTGTACTGAAGCTAAAAAAAACCTGCTTCCCACTATATATTTCAAATGTGTTTCAAATGCCACCTGGAGGTTCATGAAAGAAAAATCTATGCAACCTTAAGTTTGGTCATTCAAGTTTGAATTGTACTAGTATAACTTACAATCCTTTCTTTTAAACAGTTGAACATAAGGAGAAAAGCAATCAAAGGTGGACGAAAACATTCCTGAATGCAGTCAGGAAAGGACATCCCCTCGAGAACCGAGAACCGGAGAGACTTGCCTTTTCAGCTCTGAGTGCAGATAAGTAGTTAATTTGGTCGTTTCTTCGAGTTTCTGGAGCAGCTCCTTCCTTCGCTCTTCCAGTTTCAATCTAGAAAAAAACCACAGAAATGAATTTATATTTTCAAATGACGATGAGAAAACACGGAGACTGAAGGGAAAGATTATTATCATACAAACATTACACGCCCCGAGGTGGGGGGGCGCCGGTGAACTTGATGGTGAGGGAGCAGCCCCTGCAGGAAGCGAAGTGGGCAGGAGCACCTCGTTAGCATAACTGAGGATGCTGTGAATTTGGTTTTCTACAATTTCCTTCAACGGGCGAAAAACCTCATGCTCTTGTGAATTAGAGAAAGAGAGTGAGAAGGAAAACAAGGCCCTAACCGAGGTCACAGGCTCCCACAGGCCCGTGCTGGGCTCCCAGTCCTAGAACAATGTAACAGCAATGACAAGAATCATAGAAGGTCACCGAGGTACTGAATAGGTAGAGACTGTGCCAAAGGAATGTTTAGTGATAAAAATTCCAATCTTAATTCGATGGGAACGTTAGTGATTAAGAAACCAATTAGTCCAAATGTCTGTGCGAGAGAGACATAGCTATGACTTCCCCTCCGTCCGCAGGACAGCCATCGCCGCACCAGATCATCATGGAGCTCCGTGCACTTGGCTTCACTGCACTGGAGTCGGGGGTTTGTGAAAATCAGATGTTCTGGAAGTGTGTACGCGAAGAAGCCATTTGAAAACACACTCAGCTCCCAGGTTATGCAGTTAGGAGCCTGTCCGAGGGCCGCTGCGTCATCTCAGGGCCCTCAGACGTCATGGAAACGAGCCATTCAGGGGGTGCACGGGCTGCGGCAGGGGACGCGGAACACCACGGTGTCCAGGCTGGGGCTGTGCTGGCTGTGCGTCCTCAGGAGAGCCACTCGTCCAGGCCTCAGCCTACTCATCTGTGCAATGGGGAGCACAGTCCCCCTGAGCCTGCCTGTGAGGCTGTGGAGGCAACCAAGTGGGGAGAGTGTGTGTGAGGCGCGCTCGGACGTCAACACAGACCAGCCCGCTCAGAGCCTCACACCCTGCAAGGTGGCGATATAAACATTAACTCCTCTCCTGGGAAGAAAAAGAAAATTTCCCTAATTTCCAGCTCCTTAGAAATGTTATGTATGTTTTAGGCAGTAAGAAAACATGCCCATATTTTATTTATAGGTATTTTTCCTTTGATGTGTCACCAACACAATTTCATTATATGTTAAAATAAAAAAAGTAATTCTTGTCATTTTGTTTAGGACTTCAAAGGGTGGTAAATTCTTAATTCACAGCTTTCAAAGGTGGATTTTGAAAAGGAGTACAGGCCGTACTTTTTAAATCTCTTAAACATAAATCAGAACTCAACAAGGAAAAATATTAATACAAAACAGATGAAAGGAAGATCTGGAGAAAGCCCCCATGTCTCCTCAGAGCCGAGTCTTCTGAGCAGCAGAAGCCTTTCTAATTACGGATAAATCTAAACAGTGCACAAGCGAATGCAGGCTCTTTCTGGTATGTTAAGGAGGCAACAGCATGACGCTAGTGTGTTTCACGCTAAAATGTAAAATCCATCTGGCTGTGTGGCTCAGTGGTTGAGCATTGACCAATGAACCAGGAGGTCACGGTTCGATTCCTGGTCAGGGCACATGCCGGGTTGCGGGCTCCATCCCCAGGGGAAGGAGAGGGACCGGTGAGGCGCTGCGGCCCTTTAAGACAGAACAGGGACGGCATCTGCAGAGGCTTCCCCTTGGCACACTCTCTCCTGTTCCCTAAGGTGTGAGGCTGCGGCTGCGCGTTATCTTGACCAACATCTTCACTTACAAAGGCCAGTTCTCCCAAGGCGGTTAGACGCAGGGCAGGCAAGTCCACCCACGATGCCACCTAACCTGGGATGTCCAGAGACTTACTTTTCCCTTCCTCCATCCTCCCCACCACACTGTTTTATTTTTATTGATTTCAGAGAGGAAGGGAGATGAGAGAAACATCAATGATGAGAGAGAATCATGGATCAGCTGCCTCCTGCACTCCCCACACTGGGGATCGAGCCTGCAACCAGGAATCGAGCTGTGATCTCTTGGTTTATAGGTCAACACTCAACCACTGAGCCATGCTGCCAACTCAAATGTTTTGGTATTACGTAGACACATGACCTTACACATCTATAGAGCACAAGGAATTAGAAGGCAAGGAGCCGAGAAGGTACAAAAAGTAGAGGGACTGGGTCCGGCTGGGTACTGGGACGTTACTTCCCGTCACTTGGGATTACACGAATGTGAGTTTCTTTCCTGTCACCTTGGACTGGACACTGCTCCTCCCTGTTGGCCTGAGGGTGTGTGGTGGCTCAGGTGCCCCCTGGTCCACGGCTGGCACAGGTGTCGGCGGTCAGTCATCAGGTGCAGATGTGCGCCCGTCACACCGACACCCGGGGGTCCCCTGCCTAACAGTCCTGCTGATCTGACTGCAGAACCGGATTTTTAAGATTAAATGATCAATTCACACCTTCCCACAGAGATGAGAAAACCGCTTTACATGTCACCTCCTGCAGAGGAGGGTCTCAACGGACAAAGTCCACGAGGACATTCTGTGACCTGGGGAGAGGGCCAGGGAGCGAGCTGACCTTCCTTGTGAAATGAGAAGTAACTCCTTTTGCATCCTTGTGAGTAATGAACCCAGAAGAGGAAGCCTGGGGGCTCCCCCAGTCCAGGTAACCTCGCTCATCAGGGGCTCGGTTTACGGTACGGTTACCAGCCGCGGTCAGTGACGCTCTGCGTCCTTCGCTTTCAGCATCTGCCTTGGCACCTTCCCGATCCTCACAGACCGGAGGAGCTGCGGGACTCGGGACGCGGAGGGACAGCGGACGGGTGCTTGATGGCTGGACAGGAAGAGCCACCGGGCACAGTGCACCGAGAGCACCAAGCCCAGGGGCAGGGCACCAGCATGGCTGAGACACACCCACAGGCCTGCCCGGCCCGGCCCCGGGGACACCCACCTCTCGGCCAGCGCCCGGCTGGGGGCGCCCCGCACGGACAGCAGCTCCGCCTCCAGCCGCTGGCGGTCGGCCTCCAGGCGCTCCAGCTCGTCTCGGGTGCGTTTCTGCGGAGTGACGAACTGGAGCTCCTTCAGAAGTTCTTCTTTCTCGTGAATCAGCATCAGCTTCTCCTTCTCAACATCCAGCGCCCCGGGCCAGGCTTCACTGTCCAGTTTCGACAGCTCAATTTTCAGGTTGGCCATGCTGGAACAGAGAGAGGTGAGCGTGAACGCAGAGCTCCAAGAGGAGGAAACAGACGGGCTAAGGCGGGTGGATGCTAAATTCCCCGTGTGCCTCGCCAGGGGTGTGAGCCTTGCAGGGGGTGTGAGCCCCGCCGGGGGTGTGAGCCTTGCAGGGGTGTGAGCCTCGCAGGGGTGTGAGCCCCGTCAGGGGTGTGAGCCTCGCCGGGGGTGTGAGCCTCACTAAGGGGGTGTGAGCCTCGCAGGGGTGTGAGCCTGGCCAGTCTCTGGGCCTGGCTCTGTGCTTAGCTGTCACCATGTCACTGTCCCACCTTTCAAGTCTGGTGAGCACACCCCTTCTCTGAGAAAAGGGTGAAGGTCACAGCATGCAGAAGCTCCAAAACAGGGGGCTCTGGAACCCTGGCAGGTGGCGGAGGAGACCCGGAGGCCCCCATTAAAAGCTGCGGTGCCCTGAGTGCCACCGTTACAGAGGTGAGACGCTGTCCCCAGGGTGGCTTGGGGGAACTGGCACACGAGCCAAGCAGGGAAGGAGGAGGGAGAAGAGCGGCGGGTGGGCAAAGCGGGATTAAGACAGTCAACCCACCCCGGCCCCACGGCACCGAGAGCGGGCAGGGCCTCACTGCTTTCCCCTGGGCTGCGTCCTGCGACACCCCTCCCTGCTGGGCTAGCGTCTACGCTGCACGCAGCAGCGCCAGCATCCCTGCCTTCGGCCTGGCCTCCTCTGCGCACAGGCACCTGGTTGCTCGGCAGCAGACAGCCCTACTGGCTGCATCACTGGAGTGACAACAGGTGTGAGTGGGGGGACAGCAACGGAGGAGGAAGGAAAGCAGCGAAGGGAAACTTGGCCGGTTTCATAATTTTGCCTGACCCGGCATTTCTCACTGTGCAGAGCCCTCCACTCGATGGTCAAGATCAGGGGTCCTCAAACTACGGCCCTCGGGCCACATGCAAATACAAATATTGTATTTGTTCCCGTTTTGTTTTTTTACTTCAAAATAAGATATGTGCAGTGTGCATAGGAATTTGTTCATAGTTGTTTTTTTTTTAAACTATAGTCCGGCCCTCCAACGGTCTGAGGGACAGTGAACTGGCCCCCTGTTTAAAAAGTTTGAGGACCCCTGGTCAAGATGGTCAAGTGACCTCCTGATTCACCTGCACAATAACCGCGCTGTGGCTCGGTGAGGGCGCCAGTGGCTCACAAGGTCAAAGGCTCGGGGCCCTGGGGACCAATGGCACAAGACCACCTGTGAACACAGCTGGTGTCCTGTAAAAAGTGTGAGAGGACTGCTTTGGCTTGCGCCAGAGCACGCCAGAATGTGAAACCCAGAAAGGGGGATTCTGTTTTTCCCTTTTTATGGAAGAAGCTGTAGAAGAGGAGGAAAAAGGTGAACAAACAGAAAACGTTATCAGGACGAAGATGGAAGCAGTTCCACATCCTCGTGCCAGAAGTTTCTTGCTTTCGTTAAAAGTAAAGTCGCCGCCTCCAATGGGCACGTGTCTATCACGGACTCTGATCCCACCCACCGTCTGCATCGCCGATGGATGTACCATCAGCTACTCCTCAGCTGGAGCCACTCAACCACACAACCGTCTCAACGTTCGGAAAAAATGAATCATCAAAATGCTAACTAAGCATGGCATTGTTAGCTTCATTAGGCACACAGCGAAGGCTGGAGGAGAGAGCAGGCCTCCAGACACAGCCGCCTCCACTCATTCAGGATCGAGGAAGAAACAGCGCTTCCCACACACGCACAAACCCTCGCGATTCCCCGCGTCAGCACGGCTAGTCACTGTAACAAGAGCCCGCATCAGGGAGGACAGCAACGCCCCCCTCGCAGGGAAGAACCAGCCTCACGTTTCGATGGGACCCAGTTACCCAGCTGACCCCGGAGCAACATGCACGAAGGAGAGGCCTCTGACCCTGACCGGCACCAGGCAGGTGTGGATTTTATCTGGAGAGGGCGCACCACATCTGGGGGACAAAACAGGAAATGCGGGGACACCTGGAGCAGTGCTGTGCCAGCTCCCGATGGAGGAACTGGTCGGGACCGAAGTGCAGCGAGCGCTCCAGCTGCCGCAAGGGAAGTCGGGCCAAGCCCCCAGAACCCGGAGCACGGGCCTGGCTCTCAGGTTCATCCTGAGTGTGGCTGTCTCTTTAGAAAACCAGGCACAAGTCCTGGTGTGGCCCAGCACAGACCCGGTGCTAAGGGCTGACGGCCTGGCGTGGCCACCGCAGACCCGAGGCTGACTGCTGACCGCCTGTGTGCTCACAGCCTGAGGGCTGCAACCCTCCCACAGCCGCTTCCATGGCCCGGGGCCACGAAACCAAGTGTCCGAGCCTCCGCCTGGGCACTGAGGAGCAGGCGATAAAGCCCACAAAACACTTCCTGACCTGGGAAACGGACCACTTCCCGGGACAAATTCACAGGCATTAGCATTAGTCAGCAAAGTGTTGCTGGGAGAGACCAAGTGACTTGCTCGAGCTCCCGTGGTTAGTAATTTGTGGAGCGAAGCCGAGGGTGCTTCCAGGAAACTGAAGGACCGAGTCACGTTCCTAACAGAGCTGCACAGAGGCAAATAGTGCCTTTAGGCCAGCGGTTCTCAACCTGTGGGTCGTGACCCCTTTGGGGGTTGAACGACCCTTTCACAGGGGTCGCCTAAGACCATCCTGCATATCAGATATTTACATGACGATTCATAACAGTAGCAACATTACAGTTATGAAGCAGCAACGAAAATAATTTTATGGTTGGGGGTCACCACAACATGAGGAACTGTATTAAAGGGTTTCGGCATCAGGAAGGTTGAGAACCACTGCTTTAGGGGATCAAGTAATCACGCTGTTAAGCCAGAGCCTCTCAGAACTCTGGTGATGCTTATAAATGACCATCACACAGCCGTGCACACACCAAAAAAAAGCCACGGGACCGGGCGCTCAGCAGGTTCTCTCAGTGAGGCTCCAGGCTTGTGCGGAGCGACGGACAGGTTTCTCTGTCCCGTGCTGAGTGATGATGCAGCCCACCCTGCATCTTCCTAAATAGCATTATTAAAATCTTAAAAGGAAAATCACGACATCAAGCGTTTAGTATGGCTCTCCCTCAAAACATGCAAGGTGCCCTGTATCACAGAAACAAGCTGCGTCTGCCTACGAGGCAGGAACGGGGAGTCCCTTATGCTTCCCCTCGCAGAGTCCCGGGGAGTGAGACAGGAAGATCTCTCGTCCTTCTCCGGGAACTAGGCACTGGGCAGTCACCTCGGACTTCGAGGACATAAGCAGGAGCCCCCCAAACTGAGGCGCGTGCTGGACGCTGTCTACCGGGGGCCCGTGCGCCACTCCCCAGTCCTGAACCTGAGCCACTTCTAACTGTGAGTATGGTGCAAGCTCAGACCGCCCCGCTTCCGAAGAGCGGGGGCATTTCGTCCCCACGCTTCTCATGAATCCTCCATGTTCTTCGGCTTCGCGGGGAGGGGAAAGGAGAAACAGAGCAGAGAGGGGCTCTGAGCCCTGACTTCTAAGACGCCAGGGAGCCCGAGCAAGAGCGTGTGGGAGCGCCCAGCAGATGGCACTGCAGGCGCGGAGGAGAGCCTGGAGCCGCGCTGGTGGAGGGAGCCCCGCTGATGGAGCCCCGCCGCCGGCTGCACCCTGCCCAGGCTCACCTTCTTTTGGCTTCTTCATACTGTAGACTCAGCCTGACCTTTTCAGCTAAATTGGATCTGCTTCTCACTCCGATCTAGTGAAAAACAGAAGGGAAAAAGTCCATGAATCTGCTCAGGAAGGAAGGTAACTGCTTCTGTTTCTGGGAAGTCCGAGTCCTTGGACAGCGAAGGAGCCGGTGCTGACCTTGAGACACCGGTGCTGACCTTGAGACGCGGGTGGGAGAGTCTGGGGAAGGCACTACTCTATAGTCTCCGTAGGGACAAAACGTCGCCTTTTTAATGCAAACTTGTCTGTCTTTCAAAGACTTTCACAGCATCTTCTCCACACATTAAACTTAAGGTTAAAAAGATCAGGTAAATGTTTCTGGTGCCCAGGAGTTTATGAAGGTGCACACGTCAATAAAATTTATGGACTGGAGCTAATTTCCTCACTTAGCACAGGAGCCAAATTTTCCATCATTTAGCTTCCAGCTGCATACAATGTGAAGTAAATAACTTCAGAAATTAATTTCTCAAACAGGCAGGCCCTCTGTTGACCTCTAACTGTTTTACTGTCACAGCACATAATTCAAAGGCGCCTAAGAGAACACGCAAGTCACCGGGGACTCACTGCAGACCTGCTGATGGCACCCGAACGGGACAGCACACCCTGCGGGCGTGGCTCACCTCCCCGGAAATGCTGGTCTGGGACCCGGCGTCCAGGGTCTGTCGGGAGAGGGAGAGGTGAGAGTTCGCGGGACTGGCCCTCAGGTCTGGCTCCGACCTGCCGATGCTCTGGCCCAGGTGAAACCGCTCCTGCAGCTTAGCCAGGCTCTGTTCAGGAAACACACGGGACTCCATAAGCTTAACGCGTAAGTAGAAGTAAATGCAAAGAACGAATCTTCATGGAAGAAACAATGACTTTATTTTAGCGGGTACCTAGCACTTTAAATTATTGAAAAAATAAGAGCAGAATATAATTTTGCACATACACATGTGACTCTGGAAGTATGTGAGAGCATATGAAATGAGTTATCTTAACTTTCCCAAGACAGCCTGGGAGTTCTTCACCCTGCGAATAATGGTATCTTTATATTTAATTCAGATATTTCTTATTTTTGGAATTTCATTCTAAAGAAGCCTCTATTTTAATAAGAACCACTCACTTCATGCAGTCGAAATTAGGGAAGCATGGAATCCTATAATGCAGTCTCGTTTGAGACTCAGCAAGGAAATGTACTTAGCCGGCGTCTCGCATGGCACCATTCTACACCTGGACCGGACCCAAGGGATTATGTGGCTCCCGTAATGTCAGAGATTGGGAAACTGAGGCCCAGAGGTCGAGACACGCAGACTATCTGAGCCCGTCTGTGCCGACTGCGCGGCGCTGTGAAGGCGACACGCTTGGCTGGGAGAGTGAAAGTCAAGTGCATGCGCCTCTGCCAGCACCGGGGGTAACAGACTGGGCGGCCTTAGCGGGAGGTGTGAGCAAGCGGAAGGCTGAGAAAGGAAAAACTAGCTAAACTGTCACCAACGCAAAACAAACTCACAAAACACTAGTAAAAATGGTGAGAAACTTACCAACTTTGTGAAGAACCAACACTTGACCCTGATATTTAAAATTCTCATAATAAGAAATTAGAACCATCAGGTATCTGATACATATTTTTTTACCTAACTTTCTCTATCTTCTTTCAAAGGGATATTTATACAAAATGTGTGCACGAGAGGGACAAGCCTTAAATGGTCACATCAAATGATACGTCACAGAAAAGAACCCAGAAATTGCTTAGTGACGCTGGCAAGTCTTTCCAACTTTTCCATCTGTGCAGCGAAAAGACTAGCATTTTCCAAACCTGCCTGTGACGACAATGCACTCGGTCAATCTAGGTCCTGACTAGCTTTTTAAGAAACAGAAGGGCCTAGGAAAGGAAGTCTGAGTGCATTACTGGCACGAAGAGCAGGCATGTTTCTGTGAAGTCTGTTCTGTGTGTATCCACAGGAAAGGTATCTGTGTGTGAGTGGGTTTTGACATTAAATATATTTTTTACTGTGTGTTGTGGCCAAAGCGGTTTGAAAGTCAAAGACACTAATGCCACTTCAGCTCTACTGTTGATTTCTGTATTTACTGATTAATTATTTTATAGGCTGGAGAAATTAAAACGGAATCTTTTCTTTTTAATCTGGCTTATGTATAAACCCAAAGTTTATAGGAAGAATCAAAGATGACCTAACATTGCTGACAACTATAAATTTGTTCAAGTTCCATTAACTTTTTTCAAGTGGCTTTTTTATGTGCATTTCAGAAACTATTGATTTAATCAGCAGGACCACTGTGAAGCCAAAGCAGAATACATCCAAATAAAGTCCTGTATGTGTTATGATGATGGTAAGACCCCTGGGTGTGAATTGGAGTCCTGTCACTTACCAGCTGTGTGACTGTGAGTGAGTTACTTAACTGTTCTGTGCCGTGATTTCCTTGTCTGTAAATTGGGATAATAAAAGGGCCCATCTTTAGGTTGTTGTGATAATTAAATGAATTGTTTCTATACAAGGGGCACAGCGATTGCCTGGCACAGAGCCAATACTTTAAGTATTTGTTATTATTACTGTTGTCTTCCCTATTTGATCTCTCAAATTATTTCAACATTGCCAAAATGCAAAATTATATGGGTTCAAGAATATTTACCTATTTCCAGCTAGCATTTTGAAAACTGGCATGAAGTAGTTGAATATCATATTTAAGTTTAGAGGTTCTATTAGGAAAGCAAACATCACCACTGGTTCTAACATTTTCCCAAAGACACAGACGAAAGCCTCACTGGGCTGGGGAAGACGCCAAATATCTGGAATACAGAGAATCCTCAGCGCTGTGATAGTCGTGGACGGAAGGAGGGGGAGGAGGCAGAGATCCCTCGGCTGTCTGCTAAGTGGAGACACTCGGAATGCAGACTGCTGATCACTGCATGGGGGTGGTTTTTTGGGTTTCCACACACAGGGCTGGGTCACTGGGAGCTGAGACCTGTATGTTGAGGTTCCAGGAGTAGCAAGGGGCTCTCCTGCCACCGGCAGACCCCCTAGGTGACCACCCAGCCACCCCCTGCAGGGTCAGCAATCCCCACGCCACTCGGACGACCACCTGAGCGGAGGAGCTTTTCTAAGATCCTCACATAGATCCCGCCCTGCAAGGCAGGTCTTCTACCTCCTGATGGCAGGTGCCATGCCCTTCACGTGTCCCAGGCCGAGGACCAGGGGCTTAGGTAACCCTGCTGGTCAGGATCCCACCTGAAGTTTTCGTGAGCCGCAGGGCGCACACGGATGCTAATCTCCTCATGTGGTTCCAGGACCCACCACCCACTGACTCACAGGTCAGGGGCCTCGGGGGCAGCGTTTCCCTCCCAGGCAGCGCGGGAGCCGGAACCATCTGCTCCGGGCCCGGTTCGCACGGAGGGAAGGGTGATGGAGGCCCCCCACTCGGCGGATGAAGACTGCCTCCAGGGGAGTCTCTGGGCCCGGAAGTAGTGGTTGGACTTGGCCAAGTGCCCCATAACATACCTGCATCAGGTCCTGCTTCTCCTTCTCTCCTGAGCTGATGGCCTTTCTGATGGATTTCAGTTCCGTGAGAATGGCTTTGGCCTCGCTAAGCTCATAGCCACTCTGGCCTCCAGACATTTTTTTATCAATTCTGTTAAAAGGAAAAAAAAAAGAGAGAAGGAAAAAAGTTAAAGAATGACCGAGTACAAGTTCAACAGGCAGGAGGGACTGGTCTGGGCTGGGTTAGTTGGCTGACTGCTTCAGCCCTTGACTCTCACAGGTCAGATCTTCCTTCAGAGAGGAGCGCTCCTCTGTCTCTTCCAGCCACTTCCAGCCGGGATTCCTCTCACCGCCCGCCTCCGGCCTCCCGCCTCCCACCTCTCACCTCCCACCTCCCCCAGGCCCTTTCCCATCACTTTCATGCCTCTTTGCTTTCAGTCTGTTGGGTGACCTCACGGCCAGCAGAACTCAAACCTCATCACAGGCCACCCTGATTGGCTCTGAGAAAGGGCCAGGGCACTGGGAAACGACCTGCAGAGGAACAAGCACAGGGACTACGGGGTTCACCACTGTGGCCGAGTTTGGGGTTCAGCACTGCGGCCGAGATTACTGCAGCAGGTCTGCTACCCCAGCCTGGGCTGGACCGTAGCCGGCAGCCGGCAGGCCTTCCTACAGGGCACTGCGGCCGAGTTTACTGCAGCAGGTCTGCAACCCCAGCCCGGGCCGCAGCGGGCAGGCCTTCCTACACGGCAGTCCTTGTTGCTCACACCGGTCAGTGCCCTGTGACATCTGGATCGTGTGGTTAGTCTCTCCTCTCTTTTAAACATACGAGGTGTATTTACTCTACGTTTGTCAGGGTTATGAGTGGGGTAAACTGCTTGCCTTGCTGAATGAGTTCAAGTCCAGGAATAAGGCAGAAGGGCAGGCAAGCTCCCTTGTCAACCCCCACTGAATAGTCTTCAGTGGCTGACATACTACCCTGTGGGTCTGCTTCCCAAATGTCCTTGCACTTCACCTGGCCGCCCATGTCAGAGGACGTCATGGACCCTAACTGTGTTTGAAGGGCCCAACCGGATGACCCAGTCCTCCTAAGCGATGGTCAGCATCTTCACTCTCCCACTCCTGGCTCTCCCACCACCGGCCCAGGGTCCATGCTGGACACAGCCCACAGCCCTCCTTCTCCGCAGTCTTTCCCACAGAGAAGAGCCACAGAACACTGGCTCTCCGCTCACTGGGCTCTTAACATTTAATAATCTATAGTTATTTCAATGTGACAGGTATCATCTGAGAAAACAAAACCAATGCCATCGGATTCACTCTTCCACAGTTTCTTCAAACAAGTAAACTTTGTGCAGACAACATACTTCCCCAAGTGCGAGTTTAGTAAATGTTTTCTGCTGCTAAACAAACAATTAAAGTCCTAAGGAACATAAGAAAATAAAGTCAGTTTCACCCTAAGGCCATTTGAAGATGAAGTGCAGCGAAAGAAACCACTGGATGAAGCAGGCACAGTGTTGGGGTGGGAGGGGCCCTGGAGAACCCTGTCACCTCCTCCGAGGCCAGAGGCTATGCAGATTTAGCCCCGAAGGGGCCTGGACTCGCAGCTGCTCAGGGTCTCCTCACAGTGACAGCCTCGGCCTTGGGCTCCTAGGACTGTGACACTGAGAGTGTCTGATAAAAACACTGGGAACACTTTGGATATTGGTTAGTTCCATTTACGTGGGGAGGGCTTTATCAGTGAAGTCGATGGGTCCCTGAAGTATTAAACTTAGTGGAGGCAAAATTCTTATTTTGATTTTTTAAAAATTCTGCTTGATTTTATGAAATGGCTAGTAATAGGTGTCTCAAACTGTGTCAAAGTAAATTTCTAAAGCCCAAGTAATTTCTTCCTATTTGGGTAAAACCTTCAGAATTCAACCGTAAAACAAATCTCTAATTCAGAAATCAACTTTGACATTTGAAAATAAAAGAGCAACCTGGCCAGTGTAGCTCAGCAGTTGAGCATCAACCCAGGAACCAAGAAGCCACCAGTTCAATTCCTGGTCAGGGCATAGGCCCGGGTTGCCGGCTCCATCCCTGGTGGGGGGCGTGCAGGAGGCAGCCAATCAATGATTCTCTCTCATCACTGATGTTTCTCTCTATCTCCCCCGACCCTTCCTCTCTCTCTAAAAGCAACCTGGCCAGTGTAGCTCAGCAGTTGAGCATCGACCCAGGAACCAAGAAGCCACCAGTTCAATTCCTGGTCAGGGCATAGGCCCGGGTTGCCGGCTCCATCCCTGGTGGGGGGCGTGCAGGAGGCAGCCAATCAATGATTCTCTCTCATCACTGATGTTTCTCTCTATCTCCCCCGACCCTTCCTCTCTCTCTAAAAAAGAAAAATCAATAAAAATAAAATAGCAAAGCAGGTAAGTTGTTTTCAGGAATAAACTTTACCTTTTAAAAATAAAAGCAAAACAACCGCAAGACTGCAAATTTAAATTTCAGGGAGCTTTACAAATGGATGAACATTTCCTGGCTATCAGCAGCTCAAGCGAATGTTGAATCTGAAAGGCACACGCAGCCCAGCCCCGTCTCCCAGGGCCCGTGGGTCCGTCTCCCCCACTCCTGCCCCTGGAGCCTCTCACTGTGCCCCTCCCCACTGCCCCCAGAGCAGAATGTGGGGGGCAGTTACCTCCACGTCTCTTCCCTCTTCCACTTTTCATCTTTCATCTTTTTCCTCTTTTGACCCTAACTGACAACATAATAAAATATTAGCATTATTTGCTGATTTTTAAAACAAAATACTGTTTTTTGTTCTTAATTTGAGAAAAACCATTTTATATTTTTCCCTATATATTTTTTTAAACCTTTAGGTTTGTGTGTCCCTGTAATTAATGTTTATCTGTGTCTTAGTCTTTTCTGGAAGAGAAGAAATGGCCATCTGCACGCCTTCCCGGGAAGTAAGTGTCCCGGAGCCAGCCTCCCTCGGGACCTGTGCTGGCTGGGGCCTCACCATCGCCCCTCCGATCGCGTGAACACGGAGGGGCAGCGCAATATGCCTCCTCCTGGTCTCCATCTACACTCACGCTGCACTATCGCTTAGGCCAAGGTCAAATCTGGGGCCACAGAGTGAACGACATGAAGAACTTAGAGGATAAAACCCCATTCACTCATCCGGCATAAACTACTGAACCCAGTAAATGAAAGCCCGGGTTTAAGTTACATGGTAACTCCAGATTCAACAAAAATGTTCCGTTCTATTGTGAATAAGTGAAAAGTTGCAAAAGCCTGCAATGGGAAATTTAAATCTTTTCCTGAAACATATTCTGTCCTAACCCAAGTACAAGTCCCTTTATAGCACCAGGAACGCGGCTTCTTGAAGAGTATGGTCTCTGGGCTCCATCATTACTATCCAACGTCCTGGTAGCAGGGGGCTGCGGCTGGAATGGGAACAGCTGTACTTTGTCGCCGGGGGAGACCGACAAGGGAGGCTGCTGATGTTAGATACCGTGTCCTCCTCCGGCTGGCGGGACCAGCATCACTGCAGGAGAATGCCTGCGTTTTTACAACAAACGGCTATTGTTTTCTTGTGGAATGTTATTGACAGATTCTTAAACATGCCTCAGATTCCTATAAAAACGGAGACAATACGGCTTTGTTTCATCAATATAACGAAGACAGCGAGTTTGGCTAACCTTCACCCCCGGTGGTGACGCGAGTTACACTTTCACGTGCCTGAGAAATGTTTACCGTGTGGCTCAACATCGGGGGGGTGCTCTCCCGCATCTGTCTCTCCCCCCTCCTGCCACAAAGCCCCCTTTATGCGGCGACGCAACTACTAAACAGCACATTTGTGTCCCCTGGATCTGCCCATATTTCAGGGGGCTTTCAAGCAACGGAACTCTTAGAACAGTTACGTTTAACCCACCTAGGGCTCCTAAAATACACCTGGGGTCAGACCAGACACAGGATATTTTAGCCCCCCGGACCCTATGACTCTAACATGTGCTCAAATCTGAGGGTGGGCGCATCTGAAAGAACATCATGGCCAGGATTCCAGGAGGTGAGTGGGCAGAAAAGAAGATGAGCCACCAAACCAGTGTCTGAAAGTCAAGTCACATGACTAGTGGTCCAGGGTGACTAGGCATCCAAGATACAACTCATCATCCAACACTTGAACCATCAGTGTGTCTGCCTGGCCATGACACGGGATCTTTAGAAGGCGGCCGCCTTGTAGCTGGGTTGCCCCTGAGGGAGACATGGGGAGGAACGGGACCCTGTGTGATGGAGGAAAGCCCTGCAACACTGCCCACAGCTGGCCCCCGAGCCCTGCATCACAGGGGGAAGTCCAGGCAGCTGCACGCCTTCAGGGGACGAGGCCCTCCAGCCTCTCTGTGGTCATGGGCTGTGAGCCGTGCTTCCTCCTGGCATGGGAGGCCCCGTGGGTGGGGGTCCAGAGGCCCTGTGGGTGGGGGCTGGGAGGCCCTGTGGGTGGGGTCCAGAGGCCCTGTGGGTGGGGGCTGGGAGGCCCTGTGGGTGGGG